GCTTTAAACTTCTCCACAACAGTATCTCGGACCTGCCTGGTGTGTTCTTTGTTCTTCATGATGCTCTCTGCGCTTTAAACGGAGCTCTGAGACTATCACAGTGCAGGTGCATTTATATGGAGACTTGATTACACACAGGTGGATTCTATTTATCATTATTAGTCATTTAGGTCAACATTGGATCATTCAGAGATCCTCACTGAACTTCTGGAGAGAGTTTGCTGCACTGAAAGTAAAGGGGCTGAATAATTTTGCACGCCCAATTTTTCAGTGTTTTATTTGTTAAAAAAGTTTGAAATATCCAATAAATTTCGTTCCACTTCATGATTGTGTCCCACTTGTTGTTGATTCTTCACAAAAATTACAGTTTTATATCTTTATGTTTGAAGCCTGAAATGTGGCAAAAGGTCGCAAAGTTCAAGGGGGCCGAATACTTTCGCAAGGCACTGTATATATATGGCGTGGAGGAAAACATTCATGTACAAGTGCAGTTCCTCGTTGAATGCATGTAGTAATTTCCCATTTAGCCACATTCTACAGTGAGTGATTGTTCCCATTCCAAATCAGACATTTTAATCCAGGATAGACACAAAACATTGCCTTTACCAAAAACCATCATGCCACCCATGTATGCTCCTGCACCTTATCTTGTAAGAGTGACTGCTCAGCTCCATTTTGAAAGCAACCTTTTATCCTGTATACTGTACCATTCATGTCAGACAAGATATGGAGCCCTTGCTGTTATGTCTTGGGTACAAGAGGCAGTCAGAAAGATACAGAGTACACAGTAGACCCTTTTGCTGCTCAGCTGTGGTTTTTTTTTTCCTGCTTTCTAAGCTGCTGGCATCAAAAGCAAGAGCAGGTCTGGATCAGAGAAGGCTCTGCAGGGCAGGGTTACCTATCAGGTTTCTCTATCTCAGAGGGGGGCACCAACAGTGTCTTATAGGTGAATGCTTTGACAATAGTAGTTGTGCTCATCAAAAAGTGTGTGGGGGGGCTGGTATTATGTTGTAGGGGCATACAGTAAATCAGTTCACATTGAGTCACACTGTGGGGACTCAACTTCCTTCTGGGGACAAAAAGTATGTCCCCTAAACATACATTATTAAATTTAAGAGGCTTAGGGTTAAGCAAGTTGTGATTACCATTGAGGAAACATGACTGTGTGTGTGCATTGAAGGAGGGGGCAGATCTCCTGGGGATTCTGGAGGAGTGGGTGTGACTCAGTCAGGCTACAAACACTGCTAGGCTCACGAGAGTTTAGTCAGGGAGCAGGAACGAAGGTGTGGAGAAGAAGGCAGCAAAATGCTCTGTTTTGCAAATGGCTTGAACCCCTTCATGTACCAACAGTAAGTGCATAGGTACTGTAACACCAATTGGAAGACGACACGCATGTAGACCAAACTACAGTAACATTAAGCATCAAGCTCACAGCTGACATCTAAACAGTCAGATCTCTTCAGCTGAGTTTCATACAGAGGTTTAAAGAGTGTAATAAACAGAGCAAAATGCATTTCAACTAAAATATAAACAATTCCATTATTGGACCATTAAAAATGATGAAGCTCAGAGCTTTTTTTTTTCAAACATGTACTCAGATTTTATGATGTAGTCAAGGCAAAGTCTTTAACTTGCAACTTAGGCAAAGAGTAAGGCCCCTAGCTAGTCAGTAGATTTTGAAGTGTGCACATTTGGTTTCACACCATGTCTACCTCCAGTTTTTTGTCATGACCATTAGCCAGTCTTAAGATTTGCTTCAAATTACAAAAATATATTGACAGCTGTGTGTGGCTGTTCTTCTCTTTCAGGGTATAAACTTCTGTCCAGGTCAAGAAGTCCCTGGTGTGACCACTCACATCCAGAAGGAGCACACACTGCAGCCAATCATTTTCCACCTGGGACGGGATCCTGGGGAAAAGTTCCCAATCAGGTCAGTTGCCTGAAAATTTCAAATCTGTGTCCAGCTGATTTCTAGGAGAGGAACAGAAGAGATGAGAGGAACAGGAGCGAGCGAGGGGAGTCGGTCAGGAACAAGAGAAGAGATGTTCAGAAATGAAGGGGAGAGGGGTGACAATAGGAAGGTCGTTCACCTGTTGGTCGGAAAGAATATGTATGAGATCAGTGCTGATTCAGTGGCAAGAGAAAGAATGCAGTGGATTGATCCGCTCAGCCAGAGCACACCTGATTACACCCTTCTCTTTGTGATTGCAAACAGCTCTGGCCCTCAACCCTCCAGTGTAGCGCTGCAGGTTAAAATTGCAAGATAAATTGTTGAGGTCTAAATTGAGAGCGAGTGCTGTTTAAGGGAGTTTTTGTATGTCACCGCCTCAGCTTAGAGGAGAGTTAAACGTGGAGAGGAGAGAGCGACGCCAGAGGACACTGGTAGCCAAGGATGAACTAAGCCTATTATTCTTAAATAAGGCAAAGATAGATGAGCACTTTCTTCTACAGCATAGTGTGAATGTTAAATAGTTATGTGATCTATTAGGAAAAAGGGCACCACAACTATGGTAATGCATAAAGGTAATCTCAAAATTGCTCTGGTTGTTTTGTGCACAGTGTTGTCTTTGGCTCTCTCCTGCCATAAAACCTCCTCAGTTGACCTTTCTTTTCTTGCAGCTCTGCCTCTCATATTTTGCTCTTCTTTGCCTCCCACTCGAACTCCTTTCAGTTCTGAAGTGAAATTAGATGATAAAATATTGATGTTGTTTTTCATTTGCCCACCTTTTAGCCTTGCTATTCACTTGGAGGAATAAAAAAGCAAAAACCAATCAATATGCAGCCGTGTGTCATGCTGATTGCAGCGTGCGCGCATACATACACAAACCAAAACTGCACTATTTATTCCACTTTCTTTCCAAACTTTTGTCTCACCGCTTCTCTTGTTGCTTCTCTCTCCCATCCTACTGCTGTGCGCCTGCGCTCTCTTCTCACCATTCAGCTGCTGTCCCTCTGCATCCACTGGGACCGTTCTCCTCCATCCTAGTTAAATTTGTGTGTCTGTGTGTACACATGTGTATGTGTGCATTTTGTCTGTGTGCTCCTCGGTCCCCCAGCTGGACTGGCTGCCTGGCCATCATTAATCTCTGTCGGCACCTAAAGAGCCACTTAAGATGATGTAGGGCCTGTCTGAACACATACCTTCACTACTGTCACAGGCTGTGATATAGCAAAGAGCACACACACACACACACACACACACACACAATCCCCAATTCAAAGCTTTCACCCAGAAAAAGTGTCTATTATAATTATGGAATCTAGGAAAGAATTTGGGAACTAAAGTACAGTCACTGTTCATTTCTCATTGTTTTTCTATAGTACGATAACCAAAGGCCACGAGCACAGGCCAGGCTGCCACTGTTTCAGACAAATGTGAGTCATACAGTTGAGTTAGAGGATGACAAGGCCCGTATTGGTGGTCCACCTGTCTAGGCTGCAACGCATACCCAACCAGGTCTGCATCTAACTAGCTCAGTGAGGTTGGATCCACATCGGATTTGTCCAAAGCCTTTACCTGCCTTCCACTTTTCACTTTGCCCTCCATATCTGTGGCCTAAGACCTTCAGGTTAACACAGCACACTTTCTCACCACCTACCTCAGCTTATGTCCCCAGAGCCCCGATCATCCAGAGTGTAGTTTCAGCCTTAACACTGCAGGCAACCGTGCACCGTCTGGCCTCATCTGCTGCCTGCCACCAAGCTCTTGTGTGCCCAATCAATAGTCCTCACTGAAGTGCTCAATTTCCACTGGGGTGGAGAAGATGGTGGAGGGGAGGAGAGGGAGAGCCAGGACAGATGTATTTGATTGTCTCTTCAGTTCCCCCACCTTCTGCAACTGTGTGGTTGTGTGTGTGTGTGTGTGCGCGCTTGCATGTATGTCTGTGTGTGTTCCAGCAATAGTGTTATGAATCAGTAATCAGAGTGGTGACACACCTGAGCAATGCCCCCATCCCCCCTGGGTGCCATACATTATAAATCAAAAGACTCAATTTGCATACAGCCTGCTTATTATTCCAGATTTTGCCTCTACACAAGTAAGCTAAGGGTTATAATCATGATAATGAGCTGTGCTGACTGTGGGCTTTTTATTATTTGTATGCAGAGGGGGCATAAACAAATGATATTATTAGTTTCTGATTTAGAGGTCTGCACTGTAAGATTTCCAATGCATAGACAAAACAATAGAAAACTTGCTCTTAAGCAAGTTTCTCAGTACATGGCATGCTGCGCTTGCAGACCTGTGTGGGAAAATTGAATACTTAACAGCAGCCTGATAAATCTCCTTTACATTTACTTATTAAGCTGCTTCACTTATCACAGAATGAATCACAACAATCACTAGCGGGCAGAGATAGGAGGGGAATGAATTATTCCTCTTGCTGATCCGCATCAGGCGAAAGCAGAATTTATGATTTTAGATAACTGAAGTTATTTTATCTGAATGTCTGATTGTTAACCAAAGAATCCGGTTTTTCCATATCAGCTAGGGTCACGGTGCTCAGATAGTTAGCTTATGACAAATGTGGCGCACAAGGAGAGAGACTATTTGCAGCCAGTGTACTACCAGTCTAGTAATTGTAGGGGAAATAGGAAAGGAGCAGGTGCTGGCTGATGGAGGATGTCTTGCTGCCCTGTGGGAGACCAAGGAGGGAGGGGAGGTGTGAGCTGGACAGAGCCTGGGGTTATTACTCTAATTGACACTTCACCTCACACACATGCACATGTTCCCCAGGGGCCAATCAGAGAGCTGGATTTGCAGTGGAGGGAGGATGGAAGGCTGGCACAGGTGCTTCTGGCATTGTATCAGGGGTGTAATTGCACTGCTGATATTTGTCTATCTGTGTGTCACGCCACCAGATGCCCGCTCCCTCAGTACACACACACACACACAGCCAGCCTATTAACCCTACAGGTCCTATTGAGAGCAGCGTTCCTTTGAAAGCCTTCAGGGCCCCTGTGTTTTACACACTGAATATAATAATGCACAGAGGTGCTCGGGTTCGCTGGTGTCCAGTCGCAGTAATTGAGAGACAGGGGATGGGATAGGGGTTACATAGTTCACCCTGCTGAGTGCGCTTTCCCAAAGGGTGCCAGAGCGGATGGCCTTTGTGTGTGTGTGTGTGTGTGTGTGTGTGTGTGTGTGTGTGTTTCTGTTTCTGGGTTTGTTGTTGTAAACTACAGCATGATCTAATGATACAATGAATTAAGTTTGGAGGCCACAGTGGAATTTCATTACAGGATACACGTATGCAGTGTGTTCACTGCGACACTCCTTGGCAAAAAGGTACAAATTTATGGATTATGTTAACCGGAGTTTGTATTTGTGTGGTTGTGTGTGCTGTGCATTTAAAATGCAAGTAAAACAGCTAAACTAAAGGAACAAAACATTCAGAATAAAAACAAACTGTGATGGCGATTTGCACGATGTATTAATATATATTGTGCATGTAGAAGTAAGTTTAAATGTGTATGACCAATATCTCATTCAGTGTCATCGGTGTTGTTTAAGCCATTTTTGAAAATCTTTTACATTTGTATGGTTGGTTTTAATTCAGGCGGTAAGGCATTAAGGCTGATTAACATTAGACATGGAAAAAGTGGATTAATTATTTAGTCAACTGACAGAAAATATTTGACTGTTTTAATTGACTCTTTTTTTAGTCAAATGCTGTAGATCTGCTGATTCTAGCTTGATGACATGCTGTCATTTATCACTAAGTTAAATATGCCTGGGCTTCTGCAGGTAATACCCTGCTTGACCATGTGTATTGTGTGTTTGCAGAGTTTTGACTGAGGAGTACCAGGATGTGCTGAGCAGGATCTCTCCTGTCGTGGAGGAGCATGTGAAGAATCTGGTGCCTGGCGTTCCCCAGCTCAACATGTGTGACTTAGCCGTGATGGTGAGATTTACATAACATTAATAATATGTTTCCTTCCTGGTGTTTTTATTGATCGAGCAGAAAGAATGATCACAATGTGAAAACATGCTTCACTGGGTGTAGCAGCTAACTTTCCCCTGCTACATCCAGAGACACTGGACCTGAATTCACAGCAGATGCTGTTTCTCTGAGGCTGGCTTCATAAAGCCAGTTTGTATAAGAAAGAACTGAGACTCAGTGATAGAAATCTCTGCTCAGTCGCTGTCCTCAGATTGAACTGAACCACTTAAACAGATATTTTATTTTGATATTTGTTTAATCACTGTTGCTAAATTGATTCTCTTCTGTCGGGACCTTTGCTTCTTGACAGGGTGTCTGTGTTTTTGTGAAGATATGAGTTTGAGGATTATTTAAAGCAGAACTGAGCTGTGCCTTTGTCTTCCCAAGAACCAAGGACTGAACCGC